GATGCATAAAATGCGATGCGCAAAAGTAATCATTCTTTAGAAACTGTCTTTGGGAATTCGTCGGTGATATACCCATGCAAGGATCAAACGACGATCTTTGGCATATACTGCTTCTCTTCGTTAAAGGAAGCGATGCTGATTTGGAAAGTTTGCAAGTTACGACTATACAACATTGCATGGACCAAACAGGTATGCTTGGGCGTAGCATTCTTGGCAGTTAAAACAGATTAGGTGAGCTGAACTCAAACTGTCGTTTGTTCCATTCGTTGTAAGAAAAATTCTGCTTTCTTCGACTTTATGAAGATCTGAAGCTAGATTGGCTACTTCAGTTGCTATATTAAAAATGCAGCCCGATCAACCGGGTCTATAGGTCTATCGGTATAATACTACTAGCATTGAAGTGTTGTCCAAAATGTTAATTTTCTAGGGAAGTTTTTAGACTTTCATTAAGCTAGAAAAATGGAATTACAAGCCTTTTCTTTTTATGCGTTTGTTTTTCCATGGACACATGTTTTTGGCTGATTAACACCACTAATCTGAGCATAGATTTCAGTTAGCCAAGCAGGTGACCGTGGTGAAGTTACACTTTTTAATTCTTTTACTCATAAGAGGACGAATGTTTTTTTCATGATAAAAGTTTCGTTTTTTAGATCAGACTGCCTTTGGAGCTTTCCTTTCCGACCTAAATGCAGCTGGAAGAACTTTTGCCATGCGTGCCTTGTGTAATCTCAGTGGCTATGCAAGCGACGTCGCTCTGCTTAGCCATCTTCTGTCTTTAATCGTTTATGTAAGTAGAACTGCATTTCTTAAGTGACCAGTAACAAAATAAAATATACTTTTTTTATGTTGAGAGGCTTGTTGACAGTTGCAGGATTTCCGGCCACCATACTTACACTTGTCCCACCAGAGTGGCGTATTAAATAACGTCATACGTTGTTAATAGCCATGAGACGTCTGTTCTTTGTTGTGGTTTATTTTTTCGTCTAAATAATCCGTTGTTATCTGGTGGCAGAAACAGATTGTTTCATCATGCTGTGTCTGGTATTGTCAGCATGCGCTGTGGTTACTTGAGGTCTCGTATCGACTATATGACACATGCTTAAAAATTGCTATAAAAGCTTTGTTTTTGCCTCTGCTGATTGTATCTCTTTAATCTGTAAGCTAGCTACTATTTTCTATGATCCCAGTCAGTTTTACTGCTCGTGCATTTATACTTTTGCCCACATATCTTTTGCTTCTTTCCATGTGCCACTGAACAGCGTAAACTGGGAATACTTTAACAGAGTATCAACAACAAGTAAAATGGTTCATGAACACAGACCAGTCAGTCACGTCTGCTTGTAATCGGTCTATAAAAGAACTGATATTTCAGCGCAGAAGAAACCTCACCAACTCATGTTAGAACACAGGTTAAGTTGCAAAGTCACGTACTGTTTGGATAGCATAGTATTTAGAATCGATCGGTTGCTAATGAATGATACAATCAGCTGCCAGCTTTGTCCTTGTTACACGTGGTTCACAACCATCGCCCAACTGATTCTGCAATCATTGGCGTTTCTAGTGGTCTCTCGTTTCCTACGAGAAACTTTTCCTGCCCGTGCTGAATTTGCAGATTTTTGATCCTAACGCTTTCTTCTCTTCATTTGAAGTTCAAAAGAAGTGAGCAGTGTAAAAATCTACAATCATATGTGTGTATTTGTCCAAGAGAAGCTTCTGTAGACCATAAAAACGTGCACGCTGTGCAAATATACAAGATTAATCAAGACAGTTTCGACGATAGCTTATCCTTTCGCGTCCGGAAACACGCGTCAGACAGTGTCTCCAACTTTTCTGATCCTATGCCAGCCTTTGAGTTTTGGTAGAAGGTAATCTGAGTCTTGAACAGGCATTTGCTCCAGTATATTTTAGCCATCCTCAGGGTCTTTGGACGGTCCGCTGCGCAAGTAGTGCTGTTTTCCTTTAAATTCTCTAGGCATTTGAAGGACGCGCGCAGTCCAACCCACCTCTGATTTTTCAGTCTGGGGAAGCAGCGGCTGTATACCAAATCTCTCAGACATCTGAACTCTGAACCAAGTCGAAACGCACGAGTCGCGCGATTCGTCTTATGAAGCTCGTTTCAGCTACTTGTACTCGGGATCGAAGTTTTTCAGTCATGGCCACGACGCGTTACTGTAGATGAGTATGGGGATGAAGATCGACTTGAACACCGACAGCTTAGCATTCAGATTCAACTGTGCTTCACTCACAACGGTGCGGGCTAGTTCCCGCAGAACGCCACTGCCTATTTCAATCCGCCTGTCTATCTCTTCCACCTATTTTACACAACAGTAAACACGACCCCCAAGTACTTGAACTTCTCCGTTTATCTAAAAAAAGCAACGGGCAAGAAAGCAAGAAAGCACAGGCTTTTCTTTTTAAATACGTTCACACGACTATGTAGCACTCGGCTGCGAACCTTTCCAGAGAGCTCTGAAGACCAGTTTTTGAAGATGTCAGCAAAACAAGCCCATCTGTAAACAGCGACCCTCTGATCTCTACATCGCTTACGCTGATATCTCGTCGAACTGGCGGACCCTGATTATTCTATCCGTATACAACACAAGCAGGAGAGGAAACAAAGCGCAGATTTGAGAGATTGCCAACGCTGAAAGGTCTGGACTTAACGCC